AGCATAAAGATAAAATACAACAATCAACACATACATTGGTTTGTTTAGTCAACTATTCTCTTCTTCAACCACTCAAATTGATCTAACAACTTATTTTTTTCTTCTTCCACCTCCTTTAGTTTCTCCTTCAACGCCGCAATTTCTCGTTTATACATAACCTCATCACGTTCGTATCTTTTGTTCAAATCATGAATATACTGCAAAGTTTGTTTGTAGCATTCCTACTTACATGGTTCATCAATCCATATCTCAAAATTGCAAAAAGGTTTGTCGAAAATCCTATAAAACTTGTTCACACACATCCAGTATCAGCGCCCAACTTCACCATCATCCCAACAGTCCGCCATCATACATTTTTTGCCGCATTGGCACCTTGATACATAAAGGCATTCAGACATTTGTTAAAGCAAAAAAAAACCTTGCTTTTATGGAGAGTTTTGCTATTGGTTATTGTTAAGCGCAGAAAATAACTAGAATGTGCCCGTTATTTATAGGCAAGATAACACACATAACGTAGTATTTAACCGCGCTATACTAATACATAACGTAGTATTTAACCGCGCTATGCTTCGCATGTTAAAGATTCTTTCGGATACAAAATGGCATTTTCGCAGGCGGGCAGCTTTTCAGTTCGACAAGACAACACACATAACGTAGTATTTAACTGCGATATGCTTCCCGTGTTAAAGATTCTTTCGGATACAAAACAGCTTTTTTGCAGGCGGGCAGCTTTTCAGTTCGACAAGAAAATACACATAATGTAGTATTTAACCGCGCTATGCTAACACATAACATAGTATTTAACCGCGCTATGCTTCCCGTGTTAAAGATTCTTTCGGATACAAAATAGGCTTTTTCGCAGGCGGGCAACTTTTCAGTTCGACAAGACAACACACATAAGGTAGTATTTAACCGCGTTATGCTAACATATAACGTAGTATTTAACCACGCTATGCTTCACGTGTTAAATATTCTTTCGGATACAAAATAGCTTTTTCGCAGGCGAGCAGCTTTTTAGTTCGACAAGATAACACACATAATGTAATATTTAACCCTGCTATGATTCGCGTGTTAAAAATTCTTTCGGATACAAAACAGCATTTTCGCAAGCAGGCAACTTTTCAGTTCGACAAGACAACACACATAACGTAGTATTTAACTGCGCTATGCTAACACATAACGTAGTATTTAACTGCGCTATGCTAACACATAACGTAGTATTTAACCGCGTTATACTAACACATAATATAGTATTTAACCGCGCTATATATATTCACATATTTATCAAAAATCTTCCTCCTCTGACAGTGTAGTTTTCTAATAATAATTTTAGCATGAAATTCGAAGGTCTACTAAAAAAATTTTCGTTTTTTAATCCAATACTATTTTTGATTACATGAACGGGAGAGAGATATTCATTAATTTACTCAACTGAAAAATGGACCATTATCAATAAGATTTAACAACAATGGAAACATAATTTTATTTGATACATCTTGCAACATAAACAAGTACATACACTTATTACAACTACATTACGAAACCCAGTTACTATGTGTATCCTTGATAGTTGGGCGCATTAGAAGAACTCCCACCAGGAGCTGGATTACCACCGCCACCCAAACCAGCCGAAGGACATTTTCGACGGTCATGTCCTGTTTGCGAGTATATACCACATTTGCGCGCATAAACGGTATCGCTAACATTCATTTGGTTCTGTATACGCGTCTTCTTCTGCACCTGTATTAGACGCAAAAACTCATTGTTACACACCAATTTAAATGGTTTCGGCGGCCAATAATGCTCAACACTCACTGCTGCAACTGCCTGTTTAAGTATGCAACAACACTATATTGTTTATCAACGTAGTTGGTTGGCCCATAAACCAACATGGTGAAAGCACCCGATGACATGTGAGCATGGCATGTGGTAGATGGACCATTTCCCACAAGAGCATAACCTTGTAGATTCATTTATGGTATGTACATTATTCCCCCGGTTTTGATGGATAGCGGTGCAAACTTCAAAAATATTTCTGTCCTGATCATACTGTAAAAATGAATGCCAATGTGCTCGCCGCCTGTATTTCTCAAATCTCTTTATCGGCAGTGGCATAAATGCAACACCACTTTCCATCAATGATGTTGCAGCTGCAGCCCTTTCAACAAACCTCTCCGCCATCTGCTTGAACGACATGCGCACCATGGTAGTGACATGCAATCCTCTTGCCGACTTCAATAACCTGTTGAAAGACTCTGACACATTTGTAGTCAGAGTTCCCCATCTTCTTCCACCATCCGCATGCAAAGTCCACTTGTCAAGCTCATGTCGCATCAACCAAAGATAGGCTCTCTCATCTTCCTGCCTGATATATTCCATGTGCCTCCGGAATTTATGCTCTTGGTGGTATGTTGCTTCCATCCACATCAAATTATGCAGATCCTTGTTGGGATGTGCCTTCTGGAAATTGGCCTTCAGGTGCCTCACACAATAATGGTGGTAGGCATAAGGTTCTTGCCATGCAGGCAAATTCTCTACAGAACTTAAGATACCACCATGCCGATCAGATATTAGACAAATACCGGAATGCTGTTTGACAACGTGCTCTTTCAAATGGTTCAAAAACAGCGTCCACGTCTCTTGGCTTTCATTGGCACAAATAACAAAAGCTAGCAGAAATATTTGTCCATTAGCATCTACTGCAACGGCGATCAACGACTTGATATCATACTTTCCATAGACATGAGTGCCGTCTATTGATATTACCGGCCGGCAATGCGAAAAACCATCAATTACTGGTTTAAATGCCTAGAACACGTAGTTGAATATATATTATGGTCTTCCCGGACTCCGCTCAAGCTTTCATTCAACAACCGTCCCGGGGTTAAAGTGTTGCAGTGCGGCCATGTACTTGGGTAGAGCTGAAAATGACTTATCCCAGTTACCATAAACAATTTCAAATGCACGTTTGCGCCTGAGAAATGCCTTTCTTTTTGTAATGGTATGGCCATATTCCTGGTGGACTGGTGTAATGCACTCTTTGATTTTATACCTTATGGACGCTTCAAGGTGTGGAATAAGGACAAGAGAAATCAAGTCAATATCCAAGTTGTAGTGATTCCCATTGAATATGTCCATTTCACATCTGTGGGTGGGAATATATTTACCCACTTTCCACAGACCTGTGTTTTTCTTGCTCGCACGCAGCATCCAATGACAACCCGTAAACCATCTGCGGCAAACAACCTTGTATACATCCGGACTTGACTCCCATACCGTCATCTCACGACACTCTTTTACGCTGTACATTTTTGCCGCCCTGTTTAGGTGCGCTTTATTAGAAAAAAATATGCCCTTTGCCAGCACCGTTGGTCTAGAATCATCCCACATTGATGTCTAAATTTCATCAAAATCCCTTGTGAGAGCATCCACATCCGACATACTTGAAAAATGATCAAGGTAGAGAATCTTCCTTGAATGAAATGACACTTGAGACTCGTATGCTTTTGGTCTAACGGGGGGTGGAGCATACTCCCTCGTCAAATCAAGTCCTTCATTCTCTTCCTCCTCATCACCATCCTCACGAGGGAAGGGTGTGTCATCTCCGGAATCATCGGCATTGTTGTCATAATCACTGTTCTCTTCCCCACTCTATGCATCTGCCAAATCTCGATTTAATATGTCGTCTTCGGGCAATTGAGACAGGATAGGTGGTTCAACTTGCTCGTTTTTACTGCACAAACAACAAAATAATAAGTTACTCAAATTAATAAATACTTTTCATATAGCTGTATCACTTCACTTACAAGTCGTAATGTGTTGACATTCCTTGATGGACATTATCGTTTTGGTGATGACTCCCGGATGGACCACCATGATCCAACACACTAGAACTACGCATATTCCAACTAGGCGTGGGTTCATAACTTGTAAAAGTCATATCTGGTCGGTACCCCCTGTGGAATATATGAGTGTTAATACAAATTCAATACAACAAAAATATACATCGTAACATTAAGGAAAATTGAAGTTTACCACTCGTCTTGTGGATTATGTAAAGCATGAGAGAAATTATTTTCTCGTTCCGCATTCGCCCGTGGTGATAAGTTTAAATCACGCAAAACTCTTTCAGCCGGAACCTGTCCGGCAAAAACTGCTCCAGAATAACCACCCGACGACTGAGGGTTATCCCTACTATGCTCAACCTCATTATTGCGAACGTCTTCGGCCTTGACGTACATTTCCAATATTTTTATCACAAGAAATTCCCGGTATTCATCCGTAGTCCTCAAAAAATCCCTCAAAATTTCATCATCGTCGATGTTAAACTCAGCGTAACAAGCAACCCCTTGCGGAGTGACGGAATACGGATATCTTCCGGTTACTTTAAGGTTCACCGAACGTATCTTCACACTCATTTTTTTTACATAACAACGATACCAATGTATCGTACTCCATTGTAAGTGGCAACTTAACATGACACTGTGGAGATAAACTGTAGCTCACAATGTTATTCGCCACCACAACCTCACCCCCCAATATAATGAACCCTTACTTTTCGCTCTTCAGACATTATAAAAAAATGCTTGAAAATTTAACAAGAAGAAAAATTTTAACAGGAGTTACGAATATTTTTGAATGGATTTTTGTAGAATCCTAATGCCTTTAAATAAGGCAATGCCTAGCTTGGGGTCGGGGGGTTGATTTTTTTTTTTTTTTTTTTTTTTTTTTTTTTTTTTTTTTTTTTTTTTTTTTTTAGGTATAACGCTCTTTTAAAGGGCGTTATACCCATTTGAATTATTATTATGTCAGTTAAATGCAAAAGACTTATTGGTGGGCCCACAAAACAGGTATAACGCTCTTTAAAAAAGCGCTATACATATAACGCCTTTAATAACAACGTTACAGATGCATAACATTTTTTTAAAGAGCGCTATACCTCAATGTTCAAAACGTTAGTTAATATATAGCGCTCTTTAAAAGACTGTTATACACAAATAAGTCACTCCTTTTTTTTCTTATTTCCGTCAAAAATAACCACATTTAGGTTGTGGATTCTTCTTGAAAACGGCTTTATTCAATGAAAAATGCTTAAATTACTAATGTACGAAGAGTACTACTGGAAAATTGGGTACGGTGACTGCGATATCTCTGCCTAGGGTTCAACCAACGGAATGCTGGGGTAATTTTCTCATCTCTTTTCTCCATTCTTTGTCATTTTGGACTCAAATTAATGTACTTCACTTTTTATCGTTGGCTAATAATACTTACCTTTTAAAATACTCCATAGAGAGAGATAGTGGGAACTCAAAAGAGCAAGGGCATAATTTCTAAAAGCAAAAACAAAGCAAATCATGTTGCAGTGGTAAGAGACTCTGCAGTTACTTTCATGCCGACACCTTTTCTTATGCTTTCCTTTTATCTTTTTTTTGATGGTTTAATTCTTCTCCCACAAATTTTAGTAATTTAGTTGCACATACAGCAATACTTTGGAAAATAAGACCTGGGATTTGTTTCCATGATCAAAAAGGCCCTTTATATAATGATTTTATAAATTGATAATTTGACAAGTAAAAGTCCAAATTGTCCTGAATGTGAGAAGTAAGTCTTAAGTGTGAAGACTAGAAAGCTTGTAGCTCATCTAGCCACATTTTTCTACTCTATTTTGCTACATCTCCCTTTTTGTTAATTTTACTTAGGTAAGTCCTAAAACCCTTGATTTAAATTCTAAAGCAGAAAAAGGGAGTGTAAATATGCACGCGACTGACGCGTTGAGTCTTCCATAATTTCTAGTTTTTATTCAATAATTTGAATGGCAGATCTAATTTTTTAATTGGTTACGGATACAGTCAAGGAGACGAGGCTTAAGGCAGTATTACAAATGATGTAGTTGAAAATGATTCCTAGCTTCATGTGATCATACATATGATGGAGGGAGAGTACGTATAACATATTTGTTGCCCAATTATTTGCTTTGCTAACTTTGATGGGATCTGAATTTTCTCAAGAATATCTCATGACAGCTAATAATAAAGTTATACCATCAATTCTTAAGATGATGATTTTGATGCTAGTCCAATAATTATGCTTAAGGTGATGCACCTTATTTGATTCCAGTTTGTTAGTTAACTACCTTAATCCATGGTATTGGTGTGCTATAATTTATTTTCTTGGTAACTTGTGGGTTTGAGATTTTAGTTAACTGCTAGATTTTGTCTGGTCTCCAGGTCCTGGTTTTATGAATTTATAAAGCTTTTTGCTGGGATCAACCATTGGTTCTTTAACGAAGATGTGCATTTGAGATTTCAATTGTCCTGTCGGAGATTTTTGTGCATCGAAATGTGACCAGCTGTAGCTGTTGAAAAGAGTATGCTGCATATGTGCTAATGTCTGTGGTTTGTTAACATTCTTGAAAACATAGAGATGCTGAGGTCCACCAGACTTTCCTCACTAAGTGTCTTATAGAAACATATGTTGATCGCAAGTATTATACTTGCTTTTTCTGGCTTCATGAATTAAACCTCAAAAAGAAGAAGAAGAATACACATCAATTACCTCTTTTTCCAGGTCTATCTTCAAAAGGTATCAGTCTCTATTTAACTTTTAAGAGCTTGTGGCCAGAAGAATTCATCAGTAGCCGTTTGGATGTGGTCTTAACCATAATTTAGGGGGAAAATGTGTGTTGATGAAAAGTGATTCATATGTGTGGTGCGCTAATGATGATTTGATTGTTGTAAAGGTTGTGAAAAGTTGTCTGTGAACAAAAAGATAAAAGACTTCACATCAGATATACACTTTATCAGTTTGCACACTATAACCAGATCCTGAATGCATGATGGCATTGTTGATTGCATGCCGTATGTTTTTTTTTTCCCACTGGATGTGATGGGGTTTAGGTATATCCCTAGCTCCAAAATATCAAAAGGCAGTATGTGATAATGATGAAGGGGATGTAATACACAATATCATTTTGAAGTTATTGAATTAGACAGATTCTAAATTGCTTGGAAACCGAACTGCATAAACCATATGTGTGAGTTTCATTTCTGCTTCCCTACACTTACTTCGGAGGTCCGCTGTTGGACTTATTCATCTAACTTTTCTTTTGTTATTTACACTGGTTTCAAAAATTTCTGCCATTTGTCAACATATTTTACTTTTTTTTTTTTTTTAAAAACTTTCGAAGGTTATAATTCTTTACATGGTTGCAAAGTATCCTAAGTTCTTTTCATTTGGTCGTCTAACAGAACATCCTTTTTGAAGTGTAACAGATAAAATATCCTGAGTAGTAAATCCTTGTGCTTTAGGTCGTCATTGGTATTGTCCGGAATGTTGATTTTTCTATAGAGTACTCATTTCAGTTAGACTAAGATAAGCTGACAATCTGTGAAGTGCCTTTTCACTTTACTATAGAAATCCTTACTATTAAAAATAATTCAATACCAGCTCACACAGTAATCCTACTAAAAAGAAAAAAATTCTATACTCTTATAATGCATTAAGAATATGCAATCATTCTTTATATGGTGTAATAGGGGTCAGCAAAACTATGCCAGCCACACAAAAGAAAACACCAAAATATATATATAAATATAGGTAATAGTCTTACTATACTAGCATTGATCATGATCTCCCTGAATTCTGTTGCTCGATGGTTTGCCGACTTGTAAACAATCAATTGGCGGTAGAGTAGGAGTATACAACTCCCCGAACGTCTGCCAACAATATGGATCATACATGTGGTAACGCTCTTGTATTGGCTTTAGTTGGATATCCGTCAAGGTCACGTCTTGACATGGCATACTGTCACTGCATGCTAAATGCACTGGTTTTACTGTATATGTTCCTCTAATTCTTTCAAAGTTGATTCCTGATAAAGCCACTGCAGACGTCTGGTTCTTACATTTGCTCTTGTCGCAATAGAACTGATCAATTACAATTGGTAGTTGGACTTCTGAAACTTGAATGTTTGAGAAAAACACTCCTTGTACTGACCCTGACCCTCCCTGCAGTAGTAGAATCGAACATTAATGTTGGTTGTAGAAAACACTTGAACTCAAATTCCTGAAATCTGGTTAGTAAAAAATGTTTACTGGATGTTGAGACAACTAAACATTTGCCTGGCCATACCTGCCACGTCTTAATCCTGACACCATTCATTGTGTTTTGCATAACAACATCTTTGACCGTAATGTTTGAAACACAAGCCTTTGTGTTGTCTTTCCCCAGACTTCCAATGCTGATTCCATGTCCTGGTCCACAATTTATGTTGTGTACATACACATTGGTGCATCCAGTTTGTATGGAGACACAGTCATCTCCTGTACAAATTAAAAATAGTTTGTCGGTAAGTATATTTAGCGTGTACTAACATTTAAATTAAAGAACTATTATGTGCTTGGCTTGTTTGATGTTCATATTGTCTATGCTATCATAAAGTTCTCATCTAGGTTTGGATCTTCTTTTGAGCATTTTTGGCATCTATAGATAAATAATGCAATAGGACTGAAATAAATGATAAAGATGCAATAGAACTGAAATAATTGACAAAAGACAAATTTCCTATGTGTGGGGTTACAAGTCTCACCCTATATTGAACTTGCTCTTTTACTATCTGGACAAGATCAGTTTTTGCAGGTAGGGTCTTAAAGCTTGTGGTGCTCAAAGTATAAATAACAGATAGGCAGTTGCTAGGTGTTGAAATGTTAGTGGTTAAAATTCAAGAATGTGGTCCTTATGGAATTATCAAAGTGGATAATATTCTGGCATCTTCTCTCATTTATCAGTTATGTTAGTTGTAAAAAATTTCACTCAATGGTGAGAGAATTCTTTTACACATAGGGGTGATTGAGCTCTTAATTTTTGAAGAAATAGTTGCCTCAAGCCTTTTGGACTGGTTTGTAGTATTTAGTTGAACTGGTTGATATAAAAACTAAATTCAATGTAGGAATTACCACAAGCAATGTTGGAACTGCGGATTAGCACGTCTTTGGAGTTCTGTAAATGGATTCCATCTGTATTAGGACTATCACCAGGAGATGAGACAGTGAAATTGTATACTGTTACCCCTATGCAATTGTCAAATTTGAGATGGCATTGTTGACTATTCTGAATTATGATGCCTGTTACAGTAACATTAAAACTCCCATAGAATCGAAGTGCCTGCATTTTAACACATTAGTTTAGTATCAAATGAACATTTAAATGGCTCAGAATTTGAAGTGGTCCTTACCGTTGGCTTAATGCTTGGCATTTTTCCACCACCAAGTGAGCTATTTAGCTGCCACACAAATTTTGGAAAGAGTATTAGAAAGAAACAGAGATCGGAAACTCTGTTTAATGGATAAGAAATTGTGAGATAATTACAGGAATTGGAGGATATCTCAATGATGTCTTGTTTAATGGAATGATTAGTTTTAATTCGTCATCTAGAGGATCATCATATGGGGTATCTTGCCACCAAACTGCACCTCTCCCATCAATTAACCCGCTTCCTTTAACTGTAATCCCAACCAATTTGGTAAATTCAAGCCATTGCATAAGACCTGAACCCCAAGATTTGGCATCTACTGGAGCAATTATTGTTCCATCAAGCTGCAAAACAGAGCATTTTCATCACTAATGCTTCAAATTTAATACTACACAAAGTCCCTAATCTGCAATTTCAAGACTGACACACATAATGGTTCTTGAATGCTGCCTGATGTATTTTAATTAATATCAAAATTATGATTTAAAATCGTGTAATTCGCGAGGACAGAGCATAGAGGTAATTTTGTATATGCATTTGCAAAAGAGGACAGAATTATAGACCTTTTGATAAGCCTCCAGTTTTAGACTATATTATATGGACTTGTTCACAGATATGTATGCAATTATTTTTTAAATAATCTGTAGTGTACTTGAAATATGTCAAGGTAGACTAAAGATCTAAGTAACATAGGTTTTTGCATATATGCAGATAATCTATATCTTTACTAACCTGAAAAACAATGTTGTGCTGACAGTATGGACCTGAGAATGAAATTGGTCCTACAAGGAATACATATTGTGACGGAACGACAATCGTCGAAGCTTCCACTTTACAAGCAGCTGCCCATGCAGCCTGAAATGCCTGTGGTTACAACACAAGAATTAAAGATTTCATGGTTAGTAATGTAAATATATGCATTTTTACCTTATTTTTTTGTTTCTCTTGATTTGATTACTTGTTATATAAATTTTCATAACATATTCAGTTGTAAGTTAGTGTGAACTATCCCTAACGAGAATCATTTGAGTGGGAGCCACCTCATTTCTCAATGACACTGCCTGCAATATTGTCTTATCTTATTTGTTGTATTAGTTTTTTCCTATTATATATATGTTACAGTTACACCCAAAGATTGTTCAATAGTAATAAAGCAAGGAATTGTCACAGTTACCTACCTTTTTGTCCTGTAAACATGAAATTATTTATGTGAATTCCCAGGACTCTTTCATCAACTTTATTTACAATGTCTAATTGCTGACCCGTGAGACCCTCTTATTGAACTGGAAACTTTTTCTTTCTTGAACGTGATAAAGAACAAACTAATAAGTGCCAATTTGCAGCATCTACGAGCTGACATAATAGGAATTGCAAAAAATTTAGCCTATAGTTTGTTGCTAAATTGGAGTGTGGTAGAGAGCCAATTCTAGGCCTCTAAGCAGAAACCAAAAGTATTCATGACTGAAACCCGACAATTGCCTAATACCAGATACTTTATTCACTCACTACACTTGGTGCAATTAGTCACTCTACTAGTAGATAAAGCTCAATGGACAATGATGATACGTGAAAGTTAGCCTGGAACTTTCTAGCTAGTGTCATGGCAGGTGAAAATTGGGAGTTTACCTTAGTGTCATCAGTCTTGCCATCTCCAGTGGCACCGAAACTTCTTACATCGAAGATGGTGGACGAAGGCACATCGTCGTAGCCTTTTCTTGGCGGGTTCGTTGGCATACTTGGTGGAGACGAGTGTTTTGGCTTCGACTTGCTCCCATTATTATGATGGTGATTGCTACCATGAGACTTTTCTTTCTTCTTGTACAAAGAAGCAGAGGAAGTTGTTGTTTGTCTCCAATGCCTGCCTCTTCTTGCATAACAAGTCTCTACATTTGATGACCAAACAAGAAATGCTACTATGAACATAAATGTGAAGCTCCTAAAACTAAATCCTCCCATTTTTGTCTTCAAAGGATGTTGGAAGAGAGAAGCAATGTAGGGAGGAGAGTGCCCTTTGTTTTAACTTAGCCAACAGAGGAGCTTCTGCTGGTTTATATAGGAAGGAATATGCAACTGTACATGCATACGCAAAGTTTTTGTGCTAGGCATTTATGTCATTCATTCTTGGTCCCCTATCTCTTTTATTAATTAACTTCCTTTTCTTGATGTGATTTTGTTTGGCTGAATTTTTTTTTTGTTACCCTTTCACATCCACCCTCTTTGGCATATGGAGTAAAAAAAAGAAAACTGTTGTTTTATGGCCATGCAAAATAATGTAGCATTATCTGTTAAGTTTTGCCATTTACATAAACATCTAAAAGGGAATTGCAAAATTTAATTTAGATATGCCATTATATTGTTCACCAGTCACATTTAGGATTTTGTTTTCTTGTGTTTAAGCACGTAAGGCATTTCCTTTTTCTTGTGTGTACCTTGTGTCTTTTCATGAGAAATGATTAGAAAATAATGTTATGAGTTGGTATTATTACTAGTACTAGTATGATAGTAGCAATTATATTGTTAAGGTTAGTACTATTGTTGTTTTTACCAGAATAACTATTTATTCTTGTTTCTTCTTTTTCATTATAAAAGCCAAAAAGACGCACGTGATTGGGTATATAAGTGGTCAAGGGCACTGATTATAACAGCTCTTTAGGATCACATGCAACGTTCACGGGCTTAAGTTTTTGTACACCTTTGTCTTCCCTAGCAACAGTCCCTCCCCTGAATCCCTCCTATAGCCTTAGCCTCCTCTTCTTCTTTCTTTCTTCTCACTTTATCAATCAATTAATTAACTATACTCCGACTTCGATTTCAAATTAGTTATATGAATTACTCTGTATTAAATTTGTTCATCAACTATTGACGTATCACTTGATACGTACAGATGATTTTTGTTTTTCCGTCGGACCATTTTCTTGATCTTCGATTGAGCAATGAACACGAGTAGATCGGCAGTTAGGGAAGAGAAGATCGGCTATTCACAAATTAAGAAAAAAATGAACTTCATAAGCAGAGGCGGGCAATGAGTACGTGCAATATAATAAGTAAAAGGGCACTCAGGCACTAGATATATATATATTAAACTTAGCCACAAGAACAAAAGATAAGCGAGTCAAGTGATAATCTTTAGCTCCTACTGATTTATCATTAATTTGTAAGTGTATGAAGGAAAAATACATGAATTCCTTATATGCATAGTTGGTAAATGAGATCATATATGATTGTGGCCTGGAGGGAAAATACAACGCCCATGGTTTTGTGCTAAGGTTTTATATGTGAATCAGTAGTAGTATAAGGTTTGTGTACAGTACTAAATATGATAGTATACACTTAGCGAATTGTCCAAACTGACTATAATTTAGTCCACAAAATATCAGTGTACGTAAAAAAGGATCACATGCTTTAGCTCTTTATGGAATGGTGGGTTTAGAATAAACTGTGGGGGCTGTAGTGTAGGGTCTGGAATTCATGAACGTCACAATAGAATGTAGGTATTTCTGCACTTTTTATGTGAACAGAAACTGCCCTGATTGTGACCAAAGAATTATTACCATGATCAAAGGGTAGGTTTGAGTTTTCAATAACATTAAACTCTAAATTCTTATTTTTCACTTTTTTCATGATTGTCCAACTAAACTTTTTCTCTACTTCTTTTCTTACCTTTGCATGAGTTCTTGCTTCTTTCAAAACATATGCGGAGCCAGGATATTAACTCTATGAGATATAAATTCTAGGATAGTTACATCAGTAATTGAGTTTTAAATTTAATTTATATATATATTTAATAAATTTCTTAATACAAATATAATATTTAGACTAAAATTATTGAGTATGGTCGAACTTGTAGCTCAACTTCTAGCTCTACCCCTGCCTGTCTTCAATGTCCGTAAAAGGACCAAAACTTGTAACCTTGCTATTATTCTCCTTTAAGATTTACAAAAAATGTAGGAGGCGTATAGGAGCGGGTAAGCTATCAATAAGTATGGATTTGTAGTTTGAAAAAGAATGTCAGTAAATTGTTAAGAGTCAGAGTGTAATATTAAAGTATTTATATCGTGTGTATAAAACCTTACAAAAATTTGAAAAAATTATGCTACATTAATTTGTTTTATATTGTTTGGTTATATGTTTGTGTTTGCTTATATATATATCTTATAGTATATCATTTTTTTTTCTCACACATATATGTGAAGGTAGGAGGAACTTGTATGTCCACATCACCCTACCTGTTAAGTTAAGACATACAGATAGGCAGTATTTAGAACCACACCTCAATTTACCACCCAACAAGTTTTGTCTTTTGCACTTTGACCTCTCTTATCCGTCATTTTCTTACAACAAGCACCAACCCTCTCGCATCTCTTTCTATCTACCTGGAGGCTGAACATTACACATTGCAATGGGTGATACATGACACTTGGTTTTCATGTGAATTTGTTCCCAAAAATACTTGACCATTTTTTTTTAATAAAAAAGAAGCATTTATTAATACATCTCTTTCAAATTCGTTATTACTGCACAAATTAGTAGAGTGGTAATTAAGTAAGAATTATATATGTCTAATAGAAACATATACAAAGAATAATCTAGACTGATATGGACCAAAATTGGGGTAATGTTTTAAAGTCTATTGTCACATTTTACATGAAAAAGGGGATCGGAAGAAAAGAACCTAAAAAATCAAAAAGGGGAATAAAAGAACCTAAAGAAAATATTTTAAAATTTGTGGTGTAAAACAAGTCATAGATATGTATTTATAACTATAAATTATCTCATTAAGGATAAAATGACAACTTTAAAGTTGTTTCTGGATATAAAATATTGTTCTTCTTAGAACAAATTTAAAAAAAATAGTGTTAGCATAAATTAGGATAGAAAGAGTATGATTTATGAAAATACAAAGATTTAAAAAAAAAAAAAAGGATAGAGAGAGGGAGAGAGATCCCCATATTTAAAAGAAAAGAAAAGAATGTCCAACTAAAAGCCTACTAAATTTTACAACTAGATGCACGTGATCGATCATACATCCATTCAAAATACCCTTTTGTAATCAATAATTAGATCCCATTTATGGCCCCATGATTTTTCCCTGTTTCATATACATTATATATTTGGGGAGATTTTATTATTCTGTAAAGGTCATCTGACAGGAATTAATACTTAAATTAAAGTCATTTCCCTCTTTCTTCACGTAATTAATAACTGTGGAAGCTGGAAATCCACCTGTATTAACGTCCAAATGACAATAGATTATATATTTGAATCTGTACAAATAATTCTATATATTAATAATCTAAGAACAGACAATATTATTTAAAGACCTGCTTTGCTAAATAACTTAAAGACTCGCTCTGTTAAAAAAAAAAAGAAAGAAAATCAAGAGCCTTTTTCCCAATGAGTGTTTAATATCAACAATTTATTGTGTGTTCAGGTACTCAATTTAAAATATGTCTTGAATCGAATATCTAAATAAAATGTACCGACAAGTTTAAGGGTTTTCTTTGATCTGTCATGATGATGATTACTCTGACGTTTTCATTTGTTAAAAGTCAATTGTTGGATGAATAAAATAAAGGAAAATAATCCGATTTTCTTTTCCAATTGAATGAGTAAAAATGGGATATTTGGAAAAGCAAAGAAGAGATTTGATGAGTAGCAAGTAGGACCTTAATAAGCCGTCTTTTAGTGGAAGCTGGCTCGTGAACTTTATTTTGATACCTCCCGTGAACTCCATGCAACAGCAACATTATAATTCAGCTAGCCTAGCTGGGGAATTTTAGTATATATATGATTGGCTTTCATTAATTGCACCCTTCTTTTCTCTTCCTTTTTGTATGCAATATTAATGCAATTGACATATGGCGGCCAAGCATTACTTTTTCGATACATACCTTATCCTATACCTGTTAATCGGGCCGGCCTGACCCGTTTACAACCCGGTTCGATCTGGGTCAGCTCGATTACTGTAGCGTTTGGGGACGGGCTGGGACGGGTTGGGCGGGGAGCGGGTTTTAGATGAAAATTTTTTGGATACCGGTTATACCTGTTAATCGGGCTGGGCTGGCCCGTTTACAACCCGGTTCGACTCGGTTCAGTCCGGTACTATAGCGTTTGGGGACGGGATGGGACGGGTTGGGCGGGGAGCGGGATTTAGACGAAAAGTTTTTGGATACCGGTGCACCGGAACCCGCTTAGCCCGGTAACCCGTTAACGGATTTTTAACGGACCACAACCCGGTCCATCCCGGTTTCCGTTACAATTTGTTTTTTTTTTAATTTTCTGGACCGTTGCCAACAGTCAAATTCAAAAATGACCGTTGGCCAACGACCCTTTTTGCATAAATGGCCATTTCGACCTACCCCTTAAGAAAATAGTTTCCC